GGGAAATTCTTAACACAAGTAACCAAAGCTCCGGTGTTTGCAAAGTTCTGCGAGTTAGCTCCTATGCAAATATAAAGACACATTTGCCAAACCTTTGGCTTCGCGACTTTGCCTGTGACGGTAAGCCAAATCATGAAGTAACCGACGAAGTTCATCGCCGAGCCAATGGTGAGGACGAACCAAGTCGGTGTGACCTCTGCTATGAGTCCGGACAAGACTCCAACGTTAGCTCCAAGATCTTTAAAGAAACCTAAGAGGTTCAACGTTGTCTGGTCGTAACCAAGTGTAGATTTGATATCTTTAGAGTAAGTCCCGAAAAGATAAGTGGCTCCAGCGCAAGCCATGATGAGGAACGAAGCAAACACCATGAACCATCTTCCATTAAAGAAGTGAATCAAGAATCGTACGGTCTCGTCGTTTCCCATCTTGGAAACCCGAGTGTGAGGCTAATATCAAGATATCTTTGAAAGTGAATCTTGAAAAGATTTGAGTCTCTTTCAAGATTTTCTTGATTGAGAAATGGAGAAACTTGGCTGATCCAGAATAAGAGAACAAACTAAGAGAGAGAGATAAATGATTAGAGTACAGAAAGAGAGTCTCAGGGCTATAAAGTAGATCAGAGGAATAGAGGAATTTGTTTATATGTAAGTATATCGAAGAGAGGGCTGATTGTCGGAAAGTTTTGAGGGAGATTTGACCATTTTATTGTAGCTTAGAAAAGATAAAGATTGACCATTATATCTGTCTTTTCTATATTTGTCTTTTTGTTTGAAATTATTGTCCAAACTCCAAAGATAAGGAGATATTATCTTCCTAATAAAGTGTCCAACTAAGAGTGCCAAAAAATTAGTGTGTCCATCTAAGCTCAACTATCTCCATATAGAATGTCCAACAAAGCAAAACTAGACAATTTTACACTAAACTAGAAATAAAATGTTTACTTAATTCGTTCTTTTTTTTTTTTTTTTTTGACCACATAAATTTCAACAAATTTTAGAAGACACAAGAAAATCAAGTACTATAAATAATAACAAATGAAATACTAACTTCATGAAATAAGAAATTTTAAAATTGTAATGTTAGTTGAATAGAAAGTAAAAAAAAAAAATTATATATAGGTAGTATTTTTTTGTAATAACTAATAATCATTTTATACAATTTTCAATCGAAAATGCGTATTTAACATTGATCCTATTTGTTTCAGATATAAGATTCATTTGATCATTTAATTAATATTGAAAATAATAAATATATAAGATTCATTTTTCCAATTTGTTATGTTTTTCCTTAAGTTTTTCTAATTTTTTAGTTAAATGTTTTACAAATTTATAATTGTTGCTTTTATCTAAAATAAGTAATACTAAATATTTTTTAAATTGGCTAGTACCAGAAAATGTCGTCCGTTAAACCAAAAAAGTGCCGAAATGTATGGTTATGGTGTTGCATACATGTCTTATGCAAATTGGTGAATATCACTATAATTTAGCAATTGTTTGTGTAGTTTCTAAAACACTAAATTAGTGTATGTATGTATTTGGATTTAGGCTCAAAAGATTTGAATGGAGAAGATGGTATTATGATATTTAAAGGGAAAAAAAGGGAGAAGGAAACCCATACAAAATTAGACAACCCTAAATTTTCTGCCAAAAGAAGGCCTTAAGCGAGTGTTTCATATTTTTTAACTACAGCACAATGGGCCTCAATGCCCATGTTCGTGTTAGTGTATTTAGTAATTAAAAAAAAATGCAACATGTGGAATAATTTCAACGATACAAAACAAACCAAACGGATTAGATTAATCGCTAACCACCTATCTCCTACAGTTTTTATGCTATGACCTTATCTTAATTGTTATATGTATTATGTCATTCCAACTTAGCCAAGCAACCTCTTGAAAGTGACTTTATACCTTATATTATCTGGTTTGTTATATATATAATACGTAATTTGCGATTGGACACTAATGCTAACACTAAACTATCTACACATACATTATCTATATATATGCGGTCGGTTTGCAAATCATTAATAGTTTATGATAAGTTGATAACCGAACATGGACTTCTCTTACCTTTTCTTTTTACATAAACAAAAAGGTGTAGAAAATGAGTGGTTGGTCAAGTTTGCCTTTTCTAATAAGCTCTGAAATACGTAACTCGTAAGTATTAAACAAAAGTTAAAAAAAAAAAGGTATTACAAAAAAGCTAACAAATAAAAAACATAGTATTGAATAAAACTCGTTTTGGATGAGGATTTCTAGCTCCAAAAGCGTACTTTTTAAGTTGAGAATGTGTATGACTAGAATACGTAAGTACAATTGTGGATAGTATGTTGTTTCTGGAAATTTCTGATCAATTAGTAAAGGATTCGTGGTGGTATGTACTCGTGAAAATATTTATAAATTGTTACATAAACTTACAAATAACTAAATGAGAGAGGGTTCATGTTCTATTAGAAAAAGGAATACATAATTATAGTCATGGGCGTTCGGTTATCTGATCGGTTATCAGTTCGGTTCCATTCGGTTTCGGATATTTCGGTTCTAAAATTTAGTATCAATTTGGGTATTTTGAAATTTTGGTTCGGCTTCAGTTCGGTTCCGGTTCTTTCGGTTTTAAAATTTAGTATCCATTCGGTTATTTTGCTTTGGATATTTTCGGATATTTCGGTTATTTTTGGGTATTTTCGAATATTTTTGGATATTTTCCGGTTATTTTCGAGTATTTTTACTAATTATATATTTTTCAAAGTATTTATTATTATTTGGTCAATAAATAACTAATATTTTTGAAATATAATTGTATTTCGGATAGTTTCGATTCAGTTACGGTTCTTTTGGTTATAGAATTTAGTTTTGGTTCGTTTTTTTTGCTACGGTTTTTGGTTCGGTTTATTTGCCTAGGCCTACATAATTATAGTGCAGACTGCAGACCATTACATAATTAGGGGATTGTATCCTTTAAGGAAACGGAGAGGTGATTCAACATCATTTTGATTTCTTCTTTGTCTTCTAAACTTTTGTTGTTGTTGTTTCGAGCAACATTTAACAGAAATTTTTTAAACTGAAAAATGAACATCTAAAAATCTTATGAAAATTAACCACAACGATGTTCTTAGACTTCTACATACTTGCTGACTATCTGTTAGTGCCACCTAATATACTTATCTGGCTTGATTGGATCGAAAATATCAATCCATACAATTATTATAGAAGCCAAAGAAAATTGGTTGATGAGTTATTTTCTAAGTGTATACAAATTTCTTTCTTTCAAATCTCTTAATACTGTATCATTAAATAATCTAATAAAGCTTTTAAAATATTTTTTTGGATAAGTATAAGTTCTTATAAAACTATTTTTGTATACTTCTCCATTTTTCAAAATTCATTTATATTATACTTACTTTTTCAAATTATCAACCGTTTTTACATGTTTTGTATAATAATTAATAATTACTCCTACCTTACAAACGAATAAAACTTTTACTATGTTCGCTGATTAAATTTTTGTTATATCATTATATGTTTCATAAGTTTATTACCTAATTATTGACTTTTATATGTTTTGTTATAGTAAACAAACAGCAAAAACAAAATCTACATGTCCTAAATGATAGTCTGATTTTCATCCATAATTCTCTGGTTTTTGAAAATTAATGATTGTGTTGTATGAAAAATGTTCATTGGTTCGACTAATTTTTTATTCATCATATATATCTTATTAAAAAGAAATTAACAAAATTTGGTGGCTACAATGGTTCAAGACTTCAGGGGATGTGCCTTTAGTCAAGTGGTTAAGTCCATTTGTCTCCGTCTTCCCCACCGGAGTTCGATTCCACTAAGTCGCGTTACGTAGTCTTTAAATAAAAATTTGCGGCTTAAATCAATCTTCTCTAGTATGTAAAAAAAAAAAAAAGTAGAAGTTTTTAAATTAGTATATTACTAACTTATGAAAATACTTTAGTTACAAGATAGAGTATGAAAAAAAAAAATTATTGGAATGCAAATTCTTGAATTTCAATTGTTTAAAAACTATAAATTTCTACATAACAAAACTTTTTTTACTAAAAGTAATAATTTTTCGGCTATGCGTTATGTGTATATCAATTAAAAAGATAATGTACAATTTTCCAAAAATATATATCTTGAATAGTACGTAACAACACGACACATAACAAACATACCCGATTAGTTGGACCAAACCGAGAGCAATATCATTGATTCCCCAAAGTGGTTATTTTTAGGAGTCGTATTCGACGAACAACCTCATACTCGCCTAACATAGATAAATTTTCTTTTGAATACTTCGGTTAACCCTAACCAAGATTTGTTTTCTTGCTTTTTATATACTCAATACAATACATATACGTGCTCCTTTAGCAATATTTTCATATTTATTATTTCTTTTAAATATTATCATGATTCTTTTTCTTTCGTCATGTTTGGCCTCTTTAATAGTATATTTCTTGAATAGAATGAGCATTAATCCAATAGCGTCCTGATCCCAAAAACCTCATATTTAGGTTCGAGAGCCCGAAAATATACTTTTTAAATAAAGCAGTTAAGTGTCATACTTTTTCTTTTCTTTTTTTGTTTAAGTGTCATACTTATTACTTTAACAATGAGCAAAATTTGTCATTATATATTGTCACTTTGAGATGTAAGGTTAATGCAGAGAGATTGAGTCTCTTTACATGTGTAGTCATATAATAAATTTTTATGCCATATATATTACTATGAAATAGGATTTCCGGACAATAGCGAAAGGGAAAGTATACAAAGAAATAAGATCTTAAGACCAGAAAATAGAAAAGAGAACTAGCAACGGGTGTTAAGAGAACGAAGGATCCAGAACTTTAACATCTACATCTCCTACGTAAGACTTGGACAATCTCCATGTCATTTTTTTTTAATCTCCATGTATTTTTTATATAATCTGTACAAAAATACGACTTTTTAGCATATGAAAGTACTAATAACTAGAAAGCAAAAAACAATGAGAAAAAGAAAACACGAAATAAAAAGAAATGAAGAAATTATTAGAAATTTGAATGGTTTAATATCTCTTAAGAGTCAACAAAAAATAAAAGATTAAAGAGATAGTCTTCATCAATCTTTCTCCAACTTCTTCTATTGTTGTTCCACCTTCACCATTCCTTAATCTCCACTTTATCTCCCAAACCCGAATCCGAAAACTCCTCTTCAACAACTTAAAACCCTTTTAACTAATCCCAACTATCAGATGATTCGAATTCAACAACCAACTCCGACCATAAGATTCATTCCGGCAAAACAAGAACCATGATAACACAGAAACAAAGAAGAACAGAGAAAAGTCTCTGTTTAAAACATTACTACAAATGGTTCCTCTGTTTTTTCCTTACTCTTTATTTTCTTGCTTCCTTCTTTGTCGACCATGATCAAGATCACGATCATGATCAAAGGTCTTCTTCTTCCCGATCAAACCCTCTTCTTACTAACTCTAAACCCAAACTTTTCGCTTCTCGTGCCATGTTTGAATCTAAAATCCATGATCACAAACTTGGGTTTGCCCCTCAACGTCCCAACATAAGAACAGGTACATATATATAGATGAACCATCATGTTTTCTCATAGAATTTATTTTCGTAAAGTATCCGTATAATGGGAAGAATATCCGGTGCATCGGGATTAGTCTAGTTCATGTTTTAGTTGTCCGCTCAAGTTGAACAATCTTCTCTTATCATGACAATATTTTTGGTTGTTTAAATTTTCTTTGTAGATGTATTCAACAATTTGAAGATCTACGTCTATGACTTGCCTTCAAAGTTCAACAAAGACTGGTTAGCCAATGATAGGTGTAGCAACCACCTCTTTGCCGCGGAGGTAGCTCTCCACAAGGCGTTTCTCAGCCTCGAAGGAGACATACGGACAGAAGATCCATACGAAGCCGATTTCTTCTTTGTTCCTGTCTATGTCTCTTGCAACTTCAGCACCATCAATGGTTTTCCAGCTATTGGTCACGCGCGAACACTCATCAATGACGCGATTAAGTTCGTCTCGACTCAATACCCGTTTTGGAATCGAAATAATGGCTCTGACCACGTCTTCACCGCCACACATGACTTTGGCTCTTGCTTCCACACCATGGTTAGTTCAAAATGATTTGCCAAGTTGTATACATATTTATTTATACTGAATTTTTTTATTTTTTTTTGTGAAGGAGGATAGAGCAATTGCTGATGGAGTACCAAAGATTTTGAGAAGCTCTATAGTTTTGCAAACATTTGGTGTTACTTTTAACCATCCATGCCAAGAGGTAGAGAACGTGGTGATACCACCGTACATCTCACCGGAAAGTTTACACAAGACTCTAAAGAATATTCCGGTAAATAAAGAACGAGACATTTGGGCTTTTTTCCGCGGCAAGATGGAACTTCATCCCAAAAACATCAGTGGACGCTTCTATAGCAAGTAAAAGAAACTCTTATAGCAATCTCTATATCTAAATTTTTTTCTATAACCAAAATATTTCGGCCCGCTTCTCGTCATCGGTGTTCGAACTTGTGACCTTGAAAACTCTCCTTCATACCAACTAATACACCGGTTGAACAAACGATGTATAAGACTTTATATATTGAACTACATTTTTTCACCTATCAGGCGAGTAAGGACGAAGATATGGCGGAGTTACGGTGGTGACCGGAGGTTTTATCTTCAACGGCAACGATTTTCCGGTTACCAGTTAGAAATAGCTCGTTCTGTTTTCTGTTTGTGTCCTCTCGGGTGGGCACCGTGGAGCCCAAGACTTGTTGAATCGGTGGCTCTTGGCTGTGTACCAGTGATTATAGCCGATGGGATCCGTTTGCCGTTCCCTTCCGCCGTGCGTTGGCCGGATATTTCGCTCACGGTGGCAGAGAGAGACGTTGGAAAGCTAGGGGATATTTTGGAACACGTGGTGGCAACTAATTTGTCAGTTATACAGAGAAACTTGGAGGATCCGTCTGTTAGGCGGGCCCTTATGTTTAATGTTCCTTCAAGAGAGGGAGATGCCACGTGGCAAGTTTTGGAGGCTTTGTCAAAGAAATTGAATAGGTCTGTTAGAAGGTCAAACTCTTTCTTGTAAACCAATAAATTTTGACACGTGAATATTATTTTTCTGGGGTAACTTTGTGTATATTACTACTCTGAGAATTAAAATTGGAATCTATATAATCATAACGATCCGGATAAAGAGAAAATTCTAACAAAAAAAAAACCCCAACTATTTGCCAGAAAAAAACCTGAATTTTTTTTGTTGCCCGAAAAAAACCTAAACTAATTTACTGCTGGAAAAAATAACACGAACTTTTTTTTTTCCCAATTTACTCTCGTCTCCGTTACGGATGTTAACGCCGTCGTTGACACCGTTACTATTTTTTCAAAAATTCCTTAAAAACACCTAAGTTATTTAATTTTGCCAAAAAAATACATGAATTATTTTTTTTGTTGCCAGAAGAATACACTGATCAACATTTTTCTCCAATTCTTTTATTTCATTAACAATGTAAGTTTTCACTATTATTTAGGAGAATTAAATTTAAGAACAAAAATATACAATTAGATTAGTCAATTTTCAAAATTCTCAATTAGATTTGTTTTGGATCTATTCAGACTTTACAAATTTTGAGACATCATCAACAATGAAACTCCAAATTTCATCCCCAAAAACCTTATTAGATCTTCAAAAATTCTCTACATAAATCGCAAAAAAAATACTCAAATCCCCAAAAATACACTGATCAACATTTTTCTCCTCTTTTTTTATTTCATTAACAATGTAAAGTTAGACCTCATAACTTTATGTGTTCTCTTGAACTTCATACAAGTTCTCACTACTATTAGACTAATCGATTTTTCAATTTTCCAATTAGAACAAAACTCACAATTACATTAGTTGATTCCCCAATTTCCTAACTAGAACAAAAAAACACAATTAGATTAATCATTTTTTTAGCGTTGAATTCGTTTGATTAAGCTAGCTTTAGCTTCAATTTTGGTGGATTTTGCTTATTTGAGTATTTTTTTTTTGCGATTTATGTAAAGAATTTTTGAAGAACTAATAAGGTTTTTGGGGATGAAATTTGGAGTTCCATTGTTGATGATATCCCAAAATTTGTAAAGTCTGAATAGATCCAAAAAAAAATCTAATTGAGAATTTTGAAAATCGACTAATCTAATTGTATATTTTTGTTCTTAATTCTAATTCTCCTAAATAATAGTGAAAACAGAAAACTTTTATGAAGTTCAAGAGAACACACCAATTTATCAGCTTTCGACGCCTTACATTGTTGATGGAAGACAAAAAGAGAAGAAAAATATTGATCTATGTATTTTTCTGGCAACGAACAAATAATTCGGGTAGTTTTCTGGCAAAATTAAATAAGTTGGGTTTTTTCCAAGAATTTTCACAAAAAATAGTAACGGCGTCAACGACGGCGTTAACGCCCGTAACGGAGACGAGAGTAAATTGGAAACCAAAAACAGTTCGTGTTTTTTTTTTCAGCGGTAAATTAGTTTGGGTTTTTTTCCGACAACGAAAAAAGTTCAGGTTTTTTTCTGGCAAATATTAAATAGTTGGGGTTTTTTTTTTGGGAATTTTCCCTCCGGATAAATATTTTTGCTGTTGTGAACATTATCTTTTTATTGCAATTTCTCGTTAATCTATCTTTTTTGAACTAAAAATATATTTTATTGTTGTTTTTTTCTTTAGAAAGTTGCAATCCGAATAAATATTTTTTACAATTGCGTATTTTTACCGTAACTTTTCATAAACGGTAGCAACTGTTTAGTTGAATTAATCAAACATTGTTTATTTTACGAATAATTGCAAATTTTGATATATTTTGTAAATCGCTATTACATTAACTAAAAAATTTGCAATCCGAATAAATATCTTCTATGGTTGGGTATTTTTCTTGGAATTCTTCATAAACGGTTAACCATTTAATTGAATCATTGCAACATTTAGTTATTACACAAACAAATGCAACTTTTGATTATTTTTTTTACAAATTGTCGTAACATTTTTTTTTTTGAAACTAAAAAATATTTTACAATTGTGTTTATTTTAGAAAGTTGAAATCCCAATAAATGTGTTCTACATTTGCGTCGTTTGATCGTAACTCTTCATAAATAGTTGCAACCGTTTAGTTGAACCATTGCAACATTTGGTTTATTTCACGAACAAATGCAATTTTTGGTTTATTTTATAAATCGTTATAATATATAATTATCGTCTCTTGGTATAACTTTTTATAACTTATTATTTTTTAATTTTTATTCATTAACATGTATTTAAATGAAATTGTAATCGTTTAATTAAACCGTTTCAACAGTTGGTATATTTGACAAACCGTTACAACTTTTTGTATATTTAATATCTACGGTCGCGTCTCTCGATTATAGTTATTCATAATGTTTTTTTTAGTTTTGACATAACCGTCCCTGTCACACCATGTATCCTTGATAAGTAATATATTCATTGCGATTTACCTCAATTTATTGTTTAAAATATATTTAAATAAATTGTTCCTACTGTTTAATTCATTATAGTATTATTTGGTTTATTTGAAGAACCAATGAATATTTTGGCTTATTTGACGAACTATCGTAACATTTGATTTATTTGATAAACCATTGCAATATTTGGTATTTGATGAATCGTTGCAACATATAGTTTATTTGATAAACAATTACATTTTTTTGGTATATTTGATGAACAGTTGCGACATTTGTCCTTTTAAAAAGATTTTTGAAGGCATTAATTAAAGTTATATCTGTTCATTTAGAGTTGTATCTTATCACAATGTTTTATTAGTGTTTTTTCATCACAAACTCTTCTTTTCAATAATTATGTCTTCTACAAACAGTTTAATCTATTTAAACTTTCATGACTTTTTAAATGTATATATATTTTTCTCATTTCTAAGAAAAATTCTGTATATTTATTATTACTTTTTGTTTGATACTTTTTCATTGCATTTTTTCGCTATCTAGCATTCATGTAATTATTTTGTTATCTATATCATTATTACTTTTTTCCTAAACAACTGTTAATTTAGGTTATTTGTTAGTTTTTTCGGAGGATTGTCTCTCTTTAACATAATACAATTTAAAATGTTGCATCTTTTTATCATAATGTTTTGTTGAATACATTTATATAATTATATTTGTAATTGTTTAAAAAATTGAAAAATTGTGTTTATTCATTATAACTCTTCGTTTAATATTTCTTACTTATGATCGCATCTTTTCACCATAATGTTTTCTAATAATAAGATAAATCATAATAATGCTTTTGAGGGTTACATATCTTTATCATAATTTTTGTAAAATATATCTTCATTTATTGTTAAATTTTTTTTTTTTAAGTTGTCTCCATTCATTATAAATTTTTGTTTGATATTTTTGTCTTTAAAGTTCTTTTAAATTTTTATCCTCCGCGGCGGGAAGTCTGATTAGTAGTTTTCACAGTAACTAACCAAACTGATTAATTTTTTTTTTGCAAAATAATTGATACAATTTCCCACTCAAAGTTTAACAAATTTCATGTTATTTTATCAGATAATATTTGTGTTTTTTTATAATAATATTATGTTATATTTAAACACATGCGGTTAAATACACGATCCACGCATATACGAAAATTTGATAGCACAATTTTGCCAATTTTAACACCACAAATGACTATCTACCTAATAACTTAAGAAGCCCTTAAATGTGAAAGATATTAGAATCTACAAGATTTGTTGTTAGGAAATCTACCAAATGAACTTTAGGAGACACTTGATTAAAGTTTCCACATCAACTATTAATTTTCTAACAACCAAATTAGAACTTAATCCAAGGAGGAACTTAACAACTACTTAAGAGTATTTCGGACAAAATAATGTGTAGAAAAGATATCAAACAACTAGTGATAGCAGCATTTATATGTTTACTCCAACATTAGGAGCTGTGATTTGTTGTAGAACAATTCCCTAAAGAAGCATTCTTTGAGCAAATATGTGTCAAAGTTACAATTGCTGGCCGAAATCCTGATCTTAGAGGAACAATTGATGTCACTCTCATGTGTTGCGCATTTCGGTTGTGAGGCCGAGTTAATGTCATCCTTAGCATTTCTCCATCAAAGACCTGATTAACCTTTGATGCTGCAATGGAAACAAAACATTAAGAGAATCATCTGAAAACCTAATCAGAAATCTCATCAAGCTTTTAGTTAAGTGATTTGATGAGTCTTTACCGGCTAATGGATTGAGCTTAGTGAAGTGGAAGAACTCATCAGCTGAACAACCAAAGAGAACAGTGGCAGCTCTATCAAAACAGATCACAGTTTTCACTGATGTATCTGTTGCTATAGACATCTGTTAGATTCATAAAGGTCAGAACTTTGAAGTCACAACCTCTCAATTCCACAGGAGATTAACAGATTCACCAAAACTGATTCTTGACTATTGATAAAACTACATTGGACAAACACCATTTCTATAACTACAGACATCTGTTAGATTCATAAAGGTGAGAACTTTGAAGTCACAATCCCTCAGTTCCACAGGAGATTAACAGATTCACCAATACTGATTCTTGATCACAGACTGTTACACCTAAATCCCTAACAGTAATCACAACTTTTCAGATTATTCCACTAAAAAACGAAAAGCTTGAAGGAAGAAGAAGAGGAAAGGGTTCTTACGAGAATCCGATAGAGAAGTTTTGGTTCTTTTGATTTGCAGAATTTGCAAAATGAAGAAGAAGCAAGGCCATTGTTATCTGAAGGGAGGACTCTCTGGCAGCGAGAACAAACTCTGTAGCAATAATCAGTGAGGTCGACGGCAAGCAACGAGCAAAGAACCGTCTCAGTGGCTTCCATTTTCTTTTCCTTTAGGGCTTTTCTCTGTTTTTCACCAAAGTTTGTTCCTTTCCATAAAATTCTCTTGGAAACATTTTGGGCCGAGTTACAGAATTAGACCCAAACCTCCAAACTTTTGTCAAGGAGAGAAAAAGAAAAGTCCTTTCTTTGAACTTAATTTAGGGACTTTGGAATTCAAAATGATAGTGTCATAAATACGACTTGATGCACATATGGATATTCTCAAGAAAGTCAAACACTTATGTGGTGAATCCTTGAGAGTTATTTCTTACAAATCATGTAGTTGTTGCTCTTCCTTCAGTGTCCTTGTGATTGTTATCTTTGATGTGTTTTGACTCGACACCGAAAACTTGTCCATGTAGATTCCAAGGTACGATATAAGTGGGTCGGTCCTCGCTTTGTCCACCACAAGCTTTAGAGAACGCGACTCAACCTTCAGAAACCGTAGAAGCCTTTTGTTCCCGACTGTTGTGCCGCTCACAACTCTCTCCCATTTTCCGCTTCCAGTCTTCCGCGTCTCGAGATGGAAAGACGCAATCCGTTGACCCATTTGGATCGGTTCTCGAATTTCCAATACATTGAAACTAACCGAATCTTTAAACTCAAAGTACAACACCCATTCCTTTTGACTTTCCTCTGGCGCCCAGTACTTGTCCAATCCTTCTTCCAAAACATTCTTAGGACCAAACTGCGAACTTTGACCGCCACGGATACTGCTCGAGTTAACCAATGCTTTGCGGGCGAGATTATTCGAGAAAATAGTGTGTGTCATTTCGCGAAACTCCTCAAGAACCTTGATGTCTTGTTCAGATATCAGTCCTGAAGAATTAGGAGGTACATTAAGCAAGAAGAGACAGTTTCTTCCAACCGAGTAATAGTATATATCCAAAAGCTTAACAGCCGGTTTAGGCGACTCCAACGCATGCCAAAACCAACCAGGTCGAATCGATACATCACATTCCGCCGGTACCCAATCTTGCCCAAATTTATCACCTTCCTGAGAATACCTACAAGATCAAACAACTTCAAGCTATGATCTCTATCATCCCTAACATCTATGGAAAGTTTGAACATTAGAGAGTGACTCACAAAGGATCAGTGTCACCAATCTTGGCATTGGTTCGGTTAAAGAGTGACCAGCAAGTAGACCCAGCGAGTCCAGCTTCATCACCAATCCACCGGACATCAGGACCGGCGTCGGAGAATATAACAGCTTTAGGCTGAAGCTGATGGATCAAACTAAACCAAGTATCAAAGAAATACTCCATATCTTTCTCTCCTTCTCCTTTAGCTCCATCTAACCAAACTTCCTTAATCTCTCCATACCTAATAAAGATTCAACCTTTTCAAGAACTTGGAATTTGATTCACCAACCCATTTGACTAATATGAGAAAAAGGAGCTTACTTTGTTAATAACTCAGTCATTTGACTCAGATAAAACTCGTTATACTCCAATGTCTTGCCATAACTCTGATCATGACGATCCCATGGAGAAAGGTAAAGACCAAGTCCAATTCCAGCTTCCGCCGCCGCAGCAGCTAGCTCCGCCACTACATCGCCGGTTCCGTTTCTCCATGAGCTCGATTTGACGGAGTAATCAGTGTATTCGCTAGGCCAGAGACAGAATCCATCGTGGTGCTTAGCTGTGAGGATAACGCGGGAAAAGCCTGAGTCTTTAGCGATTTGGACCCATTGACTTGCGTTGAGATGGGTCGGGTTGAAAACGGATGGGTTGGCTTTTCCGGTGCCCCATTCGGAGTTGGTAAAAGTGTTGGGACCGAAGTGGAGGAACATGGCAATGGATCCGAGTTGCCATTGGAGCTGTTGGGAGGATGGGAGGGGTAAAATTGGAAGTGGGTGTGGTTTTAGAGGTGATGAATTTGAGATTTGGGAGAGACAGAGGATTGAGAAGAAGAAGAGAAGAGTGATTTGAGAGTTCATGGGTCTTGAATAATTTTAGTTGACTCTTTTTCTTCTTCTTCTGCTTCTCTAGTCCTTCAATGGAGTTTTGTTGTCTCTTTCTTTTTCTACTTGAGCTTTTCTATCTTTTTAGCTTTGGGTGTAATTAGTTTTTATTTGAAGTGATTATTGATTTGGAAACTTAATGCAAACGCAATATATATTTGTTTTTTGTATAACTATGGGATTTAAATAAAATTAAATAAATGATGACCAACTTTTTTATAAAACTGAAGAAAAAAAATCTGGTAATGGTTGTATAAGAATTTATTTTTTCAAAATGGTAAATTTAACCTTGTAAGAACTATTATTATTTAAAAAATTTGCCTTAGACAAAAGAATTAAATAATGGTTAACATTCTACTATTTGTTGGATATTCTGAATCCATATTGCTAACCATAACATCAGGGTCCGAATGGTAACAGCGTATTTGACTATGCGGAAAAAGCGGTTTTATAATGCGGTACGGTTCAACTGCAGTACGTGCGGGAGAAATATATTTGCGGGACAAGTGCAGTTTTTATAGAATAAGCGGTACGGAACAATGTTTGATTGGTAAAAAAATAATTTACGTTATACAATAAAATATTTGAATAGTAAAAAAAAACAAACGGTACGCATTACGTTAGAAATAAATATAGTAGTAATTATAAATTAGTGTTTTTTTGGTAATAAAGAAACATTTTCATATACGTATTTAATCATAAAAAAAACACAACACAATTAAAAAAAAAACTACTATTGGCATGAACCTAATTATTTTGGCAAATTTTCGGTGTTCCGTAAAACACCATGTATAGTTTATAGCAGTTATAGTTTATCTTTATCGGTGCTTTCAACTATGTCAATGAAATATGTACGCCCAAATAACTGCTTTTTAAGTGTACTAATACATACCAAATAAGTATATTTACATATATATTATAAAAAGTATTTGTGAAAATATTAACAAAAAAAAAACAAAAACCGCACTTTAACCACCTATACACCCCAAATTTGATGCGGGTAGAACGCCCGCTTTTGTAAACAGAAAAACAAACAAAATCCGTCCCACTTTAATTATTTACTGTGCTAGTGCGTTTTTATTAAATACATAACATTTGTATGATTGGTGAATTTTCTCCATTTGTCCCGCAACATGTCAAATATGTCCCGCTTTTGTAGCTTCCATTCACTACCTGATCTTAAAAAAAAAAACAGATTATCAAGAAAATGCTAAAATACAATAACATCAACTCAATGGTTAATGATGAGTGACATTGAGTCTATGAATTTAATACATTTTACGATTTACTTGAATGTGATCTAATGAGATTTTTTCAAATGCTTATGCTTCTTTTGGATGCAGAAAACAAAATATTAGTTTCTAAAACTTATATTTTATAATGAAAAAGGGAGTACCATTTTCTTACAATGATTATTCATATACTCAATTTCTTATAATGAAAAATTATTGTTTAAAATCTAAGTTTTAGGATGACAAAAAAAAAATCTAAGTTTTAGAAACACCATACTTCCTCTATACTCTATAGTAGGCCTCGACGTTCGGGTACCCGTTCGGTTCTTGTCCAGTTCCGGTTCTTTCGGTTCTAGAGTTTAGGATCCATATAGGAACCAAACAATTTCGGTTCGGTTCCGGTTCTGGTTCCGGTTCTTTCGGTTATGAAGTTTAGGATCCATTCGGATATTTTATTTCGGATATTTTTAGGTATTTTAGATATTTTTAGGTATTTTCGGATATTTTTGAGTATTTTTTGGATATTTTAAGTATTTTTTGATATATTTTCCAAATAATTGTTGGTATTTCGGATATTTTTGGTTATTCGATCTAAAAATAACTAATATTTTTAGATATAAACTCATATTTCGGGTATTTTTGGGTACCCGAAATATTTTGGTTCGGTTCGGTTCCGGTTCCGGTTCTAAAATTTAGGATCCATTTGAGTATTTTAAAATTTCGGTTTAGTTCCGGTTCGGTTCTTTTTGCTTCGATTCCGGTTCGGTTCTTGTGGTTCGGTTATTTTGTCCAGACCTACTCTATAGTACATTAGTACTCCCTTGTGCCCAAAGTATAGGTTTTTGTTCAATCAGCGAATGCACTCATCACGTGACCTACAATCAAATTTTAAAGGCTACACATATATGGTAATTAAGATGCGTATATTAACTACCATCATATAGTTTTGTCCTATTAAATCTCATTAGAGGTCTTGTAACTCAATTTTTTTAACAACAATTTGTCTCTTTCTAATGGAATTTTTTGATGATTCTACCTTCTAAAAGACCCACGAGCACATTAAGATGAGTATTACATGTTCTGTGAAGTTTTTTTTTTCAATAAATAAATAAATAATATAATTTGCAGTAGAAAGCCTATATTGCACTCTACCATTCTTTTTCTTTTTAATCTTAACATAAGCTTTAAAGTTAATTCCTCTTTTATTTTTATTGTGATTTTTTTAATACGAAATTAGTTGTCTAGTTAACTTGTCTTGTTATTCGATTAAATAGATTCTGAATTAGTTATCTAACTATAGAAATATAAAGCAATGAAAACAAGCTCAAAAGTTAATAATGTTATACAATCTGCTTCAAGAATAAGCTCAGTAATAAATAAATATAACTATAATTTTCACATCAATATTCCTCATTTTTATATTATTCTTTTTCACCCATATCATATTTCAATCAACAACAAAATAAATCAAACTAAAACTTCCACACACCAATTTTGATTAAAAACAAAACTCACAAATTACTAACCAACCATACATAACAAAAAAAATCCAATCTCAAATTACAAAATATTTTTTATTTTATTTTTTTAATATAACTTAGTCCATTAAAAAAAATGGAATATATAATATTTAAATGATTTAATAATAAAACAAAAATAGAAAAAGCAGAGTAATAAGGAAAGGACTAACAAAGTAGTACGTACTGTGAACCACCTCCCACACACACACTCTCTCTTCTGTTACGCAGCCGTCTCTGAAACCATTTTCGTCGTCTTCTCCACTTTTCTTTTGCAGAAACCGAGAGAGAGATACTCCAATCGCTAATCTCTATTCCCGATCAAGGTTCTCTCTGTTTTTCCTCTGCAAAATGTGTTTGTTGCCTTCTGTGATTCGTGGTTTTTGAGTTTTTTTTTTTTTTGATTTTTTTGATTTTTGACCTGTTGCAGAAGAAGATAGAGACGAAAATGGAGGATGTGGTGTGTGAATGTTACCACGGAGATTCGGAGGAGAAGAAAAAGAAACAGAACAGTACGCCGACGACTGTCACCGTCGTTCTTAAGGTTGATTTTCACTGTGACGGTTGTATCGCTAGAATCGTTCGATTATCTCGTCGTTTGGAAGGTTCGTTTCGTATAAACCCTAGAAAAATCGAAATCGATGATTATGTTTCTGAACACAATCTCGTTTTTGCACTTTAGTTTTTCAATCGATGAGTACAAAATCTTCAATGTCGCGTTCGATTTCTCTGTTTTTGTGGATTTTCATGGTTACGTTGCTGAATCTGAATCGAATCGTTCGTGTTAATCGTTTGCTTTGTTTCGTTTCGAGTATTGTGAACGATTGTGATTTTTTTTGTTAAACCCTAAACCCTGACGATATTTTGATATCTTCCTCGCTGATTTACGTTTATCGATCCTCTTCTTGGATCTAAATTTCAGAATCATACATAACTCTGTTTCTGCGATTGAAACACAGCGATTGTGAAGAAATTAGTCACTTTTGTTGTTTCATGATTTTGTTGGTATACAAGAAATTGCAATCGATGATCAATAATCTCATTATAACTTGTTCTGATTGTTTTAAATGTATCAGGAGTTGAAACAGTGAGAGCAGATCCTGTTTCGAACAAGCTGACTCTGATTGGGTTTATCATGGATCCTGTGAAGGTTGCTGAGAAACTTCAGAAGAAGAGCAAGAAGAAAGTGGAGCTCATATCTCCTAAACCAAACAAAGATACCAAAGAGAAGAATGAGAAAAAAGCTAATGATAAGACTCAGACTGTGGTAAGCTCTAAATACATTCATTTGCATAAAGTTTTGACTCCATTGGTTATGAAAATCTGTCTCTCAGAAACTGATTAAAATGTATTCAAGAGGTTGGTGTTTTTAAGACTTACTTGCTGCAGAAGTAACATTCTTCTTGTTGAGATTACTCTAATATCATTTCTTTGTAGATAATGTACTGTAGTCATTACGTTCTAGGTGATCATATGGTTTGAATAACTAACTACTTTAGCCTTTCAAATTAGTTTCTATGATGATCTGTTCTTCACTGTCTTGTTAGGTTGCTGTGACCACTGTGGTACTGAAACTGAATTGCTCTTGTGATGGTTGCATCAAGAGGATTTGCAAGACTGTCTCTAAAACCAAAGGTCAGACTTTTGCTGACTAATACTGAACTTATTGACTCATGCAGAACTTGTTTGCGACCATTTTAGTCTTTGTTTAATGGTATTGACTATTGAGTATGTGATTGTGTCAAATAGGTGTGTATCAAGTCAAAATGGACAAAGAGAAGGAAACGGTAACAGTAATGGGAACGATGGATGTTAAATCTGTGACTGAGAATCTGAAACGTAAGCTGAAGAAAACAGTCCAGGTCGTGCCTGAGAAGAAGAAGAAGAAAGATAAAGACAATGCAGAGGGAATCACCAAAGTCGGGTCTCCGGGTCAACCTGATTATGGATGCAATCATGGGCTTGGGCCTTACAGGTTCATGGAAGGCCCAATGATTGGGTTTTTCAGTGAGGAGGATCAGAGCTTTTGCAGCGTTATGTGAGTATCGAGGTGACAAAAACATATATACTAGGAGGTAAATAAACTAAATAGGGAACAAAAAAGAAAAAGAAGAAGTAAAGTCTGACGGATATTTTGTGTGATGGTCTGTGTCACATGAGAGTAATACACTAGTATTTTCTATTTTGAGAAATATTGCAGTGACAGTACGCTTTTGTGGAGAGGATCCACTTTTTTCGACATAGTAAATGTCGACTTAGTTTTTCACTTTTGGTAAAAAAAAAAATTAACCCTTCAATGGAGCTCTTAAATCTATATCCAAGCAATTACTATTGTTTATCTATAATGGATTTACCGCTATTGTCTAGTTTTTGTCACGCCTTATTTAGTTTTTATTCTTACTACATTGACTAGGGGTTGGTCCAACGATATACTATGTGCATTTTTATTTACAAAGTCTAGACTATGGAAAATATTGTATGTCATCTTTTCAAGCTTTCATTTGTCCAAGAAGAAGTTAATGGTTATAACTTTGTGTTGACGCATTTAAGTTCATACGGAGCAAAATCATTCTCACAATAAGATTTGAGATTCTACATTTAAAGAACATATATGGTCCTATGACTCGTTTACTTTATTGCACTCAAATGCACATCGGGTTGATTTTTAGGCCATAAGACAAAAATTCAATCGTAAAGTTAAAATATGTAGTGTAAAATAGCTTGTCTAATATGATCACGTGTTAACCAACTTATATTGATATATGGTTAATAAATCACCATGTTGATTAAGAGACCATGATCCGAAGTAACCATTAAATTTTGCCCGCAAGGTGGTGGGCGAGTGGTAGAGCGAGTCTGGAGTTAAGGGTGAAATCCCGGAATCTGGGTTCGGTCTTCCTCCCTCGCTGTTACCAACACTTTGTGGGAAGTTTGGGCTTGGGCTTCGGCCCAAGCAGTTTACCTGGTAGTCTGGTAACAGGCGATCCAGTTACCCCCGGACATTAGTCGGAAAGCATTCCAAACTCGGATTAGGCAGTGTGGTAGCCAGTCTACTCTGTAGCACTCTGGTGCGTTCCTACCGAGGCTGACCGGATCAGCCGATCGGGTATATAAAAAAAAAAAAAAGTAACCATTAAAAAGAATACTTAATTATATATTTTAAATATCTTGTGGATTAATGTCGAGTTGTTTCATTTGTTTTAAGGGATATATAAGAACAAAACAAAAACCAACTTTTCCGTTTAAGCAAAAGAAAATATCTCTCTTTTTCGTTAAACTGAATAAATCTCCAAATTTTGTTGGCTAAACTATTGGTGGTCCGACATTTAATTAGTCATAAAGAGTAGGATAGAACCAAGTGTAATTATCAATAGATTAGATCCTTTCCTTAGCAAATTGGTACGTACGTAGATATTTTTAGGTGATGCCATTTGATAAAAATAATATCGTTAGTTAACAATTTTTTCTTAATCAAAAATATCCTACCAAATTTCATTCACTTGCATAAACATGCGGGTTCATGTATCTATAGAGTTAAACAAAAAGTGCAAAATCCATATATATCGAAAACAAGAAGACGAGAAACAAATAAAGACCGTGTCGGACCAGCCCGTGGTTATAGCGGGACTTATAGTCACGTAGCTTTCAAATTTAATTTGGACTGTGGACTGCCAACGACATTATATGCTCTTTTTCCCCAACTTTTTCAATCATATAGTATAATTTTAATAAACAACGTGGAATGATTTACACAATCATATGTCTAATCAACTAGCTAGGTCACATTATGTCAAGATGGTATATAGTCATCAAGTCCTAAGATATTATCAACAAGTTTCCTCATTGGACTGACGTTCAAAATTGTCCTTTTTTGGGATAATGACTTTTCTATTGCCTCATGTTCCTATGTTTAATGCCGACTTATGTTTTTATTTAAGGTAATTTGTTGTTAAAAAAAACGATTATTGTTGGTACGTGGTGATTAGAATGTGTAAATGTGTAAATTACCACGTAGCCGTGTTCCTTTTACGTGTTAAAGTTCATTGTGGATTTATTTTCATTCGAAGAATGATCATGATTTTTGTAGAAAAATATAACTTTTATCATAATAACCAAAAATCATTATCTAGTATTATATCTTCTTATTTTCTTTTCCCACAAAAAATAAATATAAATTTTAGTAGGTGCAATGGATGAGATATAATTCAAAGATTCTTAAAAAAGATATGTCAAAGTAACCTATATCTCCGGATCAAAATTTTAAAATATTTCAATTTTAAAATAGAAGCAGCATAGGATAATTACAAAGAAAATTGAAATCATACGTATACGGAATATGAAATTGATTCGTATACGTTGATATGGTTATGTGTATCTTGGTTACGTTCATTGCTTGCAGCCTTGCACATTGGTTTCACATAGCTATGAAATTGATTCGGAGATATATGGAAAATATCGTACGCATGTCATTTGTCAAACACATGAATCAAATGCGTCCCATCCTATCACTACAAAAAAAAGGATGGATTACATCAATTAAATAGTATCAGAAATATAAATGATACTAGTTTAAATTACTTATAAGCAAATGACACAAAATAATTAATTTAACATCAATTTTAATAAGTGATGTGTTAATTAACTTGTTTAGCATCAGTTCAATCAAAGTGATACAAATTTGTATTAGTTTGCATCACTTTAAAAAATTGATACAAAGATATGTATTTGCATCAATTAACAACCGATGTAGTCACTTAATTTTATTAACATCACTTTTAAAAATGATACAAAATCTATATCAATAAAAAGTGAAGCTAATAAATTTTTAAGTAATTTAATTATTAAAAAAATAACTGGAAAATTTTGTTATAGATGACGTTAAATTGTTATTACCATAAATAAATAATTATATTGGTTTTATCATAATATTAGTTCCTATTAATCCTCAAAATAAGCAAATTTATTTATTTTTATTCCTTACCCACAATCCTTCTTTTACGCTCACGATCTTTTTTTCCTATTTTATTTCCAAAAAAATGTTTTTAGAATATCTTCAAGTTAGTTTTCGAAATCTCATAACTCGATCTCATTCAATTCTCCACCTTTAAATACTTTCTTATTTTCTGTCATTCTACCTCTCTTTTTTTCTTGACCATCACTCAGTTTTTTTGTTCTTCTATTTTCAGAAATTTGTCATGAACACTGCACTAATGATCATTAGGACTCTGTGTTTTCCTACACAATTTGGAGAAACATAAACTAAAGGTACTCCATCACTTAATGTTAAATACACTTACAAATAATTATTCTAATTCCGATCAAAAATTTCTATAAATTTCTAAACAATTAGTGAATTGTGTTTGTGTAAAAGAAAAGAAAAAAACAAATAACTAACACAATATGACCATCAAATCTTCGATTGCCTAACAACTACAATCCAAACTATCCAACGACATGTTTACCAGTTTAAGGTACAGACATCTAAGTGGTTAAGAGATAGATCATTAATTATTTTACCGCAGAGTTATTATTTGTAGATCGATATAGATCTCTTCAATTTTCAATATATTATTAATATGTGAATGTTTTGCCGTCCAAAAAACAAAATTCTTTTGAATATATCCTTTTGATCACGATTCACATGTACATTTCTTATATGATCTAAATGTAGTACAAAACCGACCACGATCTACTTTCTATGCAGATGCACAAAGCTCAGTACTACTACACAGTATCACAAAGACGCAAAGTACTGTATATATTTGGAACTGACATCCCAATCTTGATTCAACGTGGAAAATATGTAGAAAAGGTATAGCCCTTTACGTTGTTTGCTTATTTATGTTTTTGTTTTATAACAGAACCTATGAAGTTTATAAGGAATTAATTTCGTTTTTGGCTTTAAGTTTATATTTGATTCAAAAGAATAAAGGATTATTCGTGGTCGTGGAAACACTAACTAGTTGTCTCTAATGCTTCCTTATTTCTTGTAACCGAACATTTTACTCCTGCCTTGCAAGTTACAACTAATAATCTAATATAAACAAGAGCTATATAGAAGCATTTTTTTTGTCAAAAACAAAAAAACAAAGAGGCTAAAAAATATAGGGAATATGGAGAGAATAGCCAAATTTTTAAAGAAAATTAAAAGAATGATCATGAGTGAGGTACTGTAGTACTTTCTCTCTTCCATTGTAATTACAAGTATGCCCATTTTTTTTTTTTTTCTCAATTACAAGTATGCCCATATCATCTCATATCTCTTTTTTTTGGAACCACCATCACCATCATATATGTTACCTCCATTATTTATCCATTACTAGATCATCACTTGTACTACAGTACGAGTTAAATTTTATTTATTACAAAATTTATATATTATATATTTTAGAATAAAGTTGTGATATATTATAATAGTAATTGAAAAAAAATAATTAGATTTTTGTCAGTCCCTATATATAATATTAGAATGAATAATTTTTTTTTTAATTATACTCAATTATGGATGTATTTTTTTAAGATATGAAAACGGAAAATAAAATTAATTTAATAAATTAATATGGTCTGAATAATGAGTTAATTTGTATTAACAACCACAAAATGAGATTGCATATAATTCAGTTAGATCAAAAATCAAAATATTATAAATGAATCGCTTCTAAAACGTAGATTATTTTTAATTAATTAAGAAAGTTAGCTATTATTTTGAATTAATTTAAGAAATTCTTTTTTCAATTTTTAATTCTTTGGTTGTTGAAATAAAAATTTTTTTGAGGTAACTACGGAATTTACCAATTATTCGCGTAATTGAATATGTTATGAACATATATTTAGTATATAATATACCATATTCAACTCGTGCGTTGAGTCTATATTATTATTTTAGAATCCTAATGAAAATATTGCGTGCACAATCTATTATTCGTTATTTCCAAAATTGCTTGCACAATCTTTTTTTTTGACGTCTAGATTTATTATTTATTGCAAATTATGAGAACTGTTACATAGATGATTCTACAACGGACAATTCCTTCCGACCCTTATTAGATCCACGACAGACGACACTTCCTTCTCCATGCTCTTGACGGACACCTTCAATGATCCACGACCTGACGACACTTCCCTCTCTGCGTAGAATCCTGGCGAACGGCTATAATTGTACTTTGCTGGAGATCTCCTGCACAGTTGCCTCCTTTAATCTGCAAATTTATTAATAAATCGCAATATCTGAGACTAATTAACCCTTAGTCAACCAATGGGCCAAGGGGGCTTCCACAATTGCTTGCACAATCAAAATTTCAAATATTTTGTGGTGTCAACCTAATTTAATCTATCTGATCATATAATCTTAACATGCCGTCTATTATAAGGATCATAATTTTATATCATATAATATGTTACATTTAACCCTCCGTCTACTATAACTATTTTAAATATATCTCTTTAGAAAATCAAATAAAAGTATTTATAATTTTTTTTTATCTTTTTAATCTATTAAATATTTATGATATTTATTAAAATATTAAATTAAAATATTTTAAATGTTCTGAATTAAAATATTTAAAAATATTTCTTGTAGTATATAAAATTATGAATTTCAAAAAAGAATTATATGAAATTAAATAGAAATATTCACACAGTTATAAGGATC